ATATACTTTATGGGATTTTTGAAGCTTATTTCTGCATCTTATAAAGGTATTCAAAAAGCTGAAGCTTGATACACTAATATTGGGCGTGGTCAGTTTTTTCCATTTTTTCAAAGCCAACCATTTGTTAATAAATAATATTCAGATTAACTTATCGAAAGTGCACATATTTGCCTACAAAATGATGTTTCAAATTTTACTAAAGATTCGAATGAAAGCTATGAAATTATTTGGGTTGTGTAGCGTAATAATTTGAGAAAAATTGGTTTACAATTTCAAGTACTTGTAATACTAACTACCAAATGTAACGTTGTTATGGATATGGTCTAATTTAATGTAATAAGTGAATGCTCCACTTGCCAAATCGATTAACTCTATAAAATCAAAAGTAGAAAAAGCGATAAACTTGTTTGTTTACATTGTGCTTATAGCGGCGGTAAAAACCCATTTCTATATGCTTTAGCTTTGTCAAGAGATGTTTTAATTAAGTTTTTTTTCATTAGAGTAAAAATTGGCGTTTTTGTTAATTAACTTTTACACTGTATTCTAGATTGCCCAAAGCATTAATTAAGCAAATAAAATTTTTTCTAAATATAGACTGTTATTCCATCCTAACAAAAAGTGTTTTAAAAAATTAGGAAAATCTGACCTTATATTTGGAATTGTTATAAAATATTCTAATTTAAAAATTAAGTCTTCAGCTGTTTCTTTAACCCCGGAGAGGACATTTGGAGATTCATAAAAGGGTAGCTTTCGTCATAAAGGTGTCCACTAAAGAGATGATTCCAGGAGTTAGAAGTTTTGTCAAAAAGAAATAGTAGGATAGGGTCAATTTCGACTCTTGCAACAATGTGATGTTTTTTATTTCATTCCTCATAAAAGGAGTTTTTTTTACTATTCTGAGCAATTCTTTGAATGAATGATAAAAGCAGTCAGTGCATATTACTTTTCTTATTCGCAAAATTTTTCTTGCGCTTACTTAGGAAATTATAGTATTTTTCTTTCTCGGTGACATACAACGCTTTCAAATATTTGAAGCCGATCAAGATATATTCCAATCCATAATCAAGAATATGCTATCACTAATCCAAAAAAAGGAAAAAATAGCGTACTTCTAGCTGGCTTTTAGGTATGTTTCTTCATTTCGCGATCCTCCTTACCTCACTTTTGCTCAAGTGGTGAAATTATATATTAAAATTTCCCTATTTAACCTAAACGCTAGCTTCTATCAAGTCGATCATCCAACTTAAGATCGTATGCACCTTTCACAGTACAGCTTTAATCGAACAACTGGCTGCGGACTTGACGCCCTTTGAAAGCTTTCAAATAATAAAAAGAATATCCATTACAACATTGTTTACACTTACAAAGTAATTCGATTTCATTTAATAAATTTAAGTTTATGTAAAAGCCGGTTTACACATTATTTCGAAGGTGCGCTGTTACTCTGAAATGTCAAAAAAATTTTGACGGCGATAGCTCACAATTTTTTTTGGTGCAAATACATAAACGATTAAAATAATTCATTTCATTGCTCTTTTCGCTTCTGCTCAGTCAAATTTATGGCACGATGGGGAGATATTACAACTACTTTGCGACTATGTATTGCACTATTAAGGAAAAAATGGCCATATTATATTTGAATGTTTTGAAGATTATTCGTTTTTTGCGTTTTGCTGATGGCGCCTACAAGAACAGCAAGAAAGAAACAAATATTTTCATCATCAAAAATTATCATTTAAAAAGGAAAAGAATATTTAGAAATCATATCTGCGCCAAAAATGCATTACAAAGAATTTTTTGTTGCTGTTTCTTTTTTTTTTTTTTTTAGAGAAAAAGAAAATCAATCTTGTGTACTGGATAGCACTAACAAGTAAGAAATTAAAGATCAGAACATGCAAAAGGCGATTGCATATGTAGCTATGAAATTGTGTTTATATGTGTAAATATACATATGGACACGCATGCGAGTTATACGTTACGTAAAGAATAAAAGTTGCCTCTAATTGGCGCCTTAATTATTATTTTTAATTGTGTTTTAGCGCAGTCAGATATTCAAACAGACGGAGAGACGTGAATGGGTCGGTCTGCTTATATATTTACGAACATATACAGTGAGTCCTATTAGTATTGGGTTTAATCCCCTCGACAAAAAGTAAACGCTTGTTCATTGTCCAAACATACAAATTTATTTTATTATTTTGTACTACTAGAGAATGCATATTGAAATATAAAAAAAAGCAAACGAAACATTATTCCAGGAGACAAGTAGAATTCGCGAGAAAATACGTTTCTAAGCTAATTTTTTTCGTTATACTTGCAGGTGAGACTAAATGTAACGTTATTTCATTACGAACTTTCCTATTACGTTATTGTACCAGTGGCCTATGGCAGTGGTCACGTTATAGTGTTGGTATGCGTTGGAGCCAATGGGGTCGGAAGATCGGTGTTTATGGATAACCGTTCTAAACGAGAGGAGTTATTGAAGGAAAATTTAAAAGAAAGTGCGGACAAACTTGGTATTTTGGAAACATTCAAATTCTACCAAGATAACAACCTCAAGCATATGTCGCGCTTAATTCAGGAATGACTTTTCTATAACTGTCCTTCCGCAATCACCAGGCATCAACCCTAACAAAAATATTTGGGATGAATTGGACCGCCGTGCGCGAAAACACACGATTATTTCCGACCAAGATCTGAAAAATCGACTACAAGAAGAATGGAGTAATATCCCTGTTTCCTCCATAAGAAAAATAATGCAAAATATGTCAAAACGTTTAAATCACGTCATTAAGCAAAAAGTATATCCCACTAGATATTAATTTTTAATAATATGTTGTTTGTTTTTCTCCACATTTTTCTTTATGTGAAAAAACTCAATATTAATGATGCTATATTTTTTGAGTTCTTGCAGTTATTTGATTTTCTTGTCTACTGAAATTTTTTTTTTTATTTATATATATATTTCAATACGTATTGCCTAGTAGTACAATATAATAAAATAAATTTTCATGTTTGGAAAATGGACTAGATTTAACAAGCGTTTATTTTTTGTAGAGCGAAAAAGACTAATATTAATGGGACGCACTGTATGAAAACAGACAGGTTCGCAATCTACAGCAAGCAGGGTGAAGACAACGCGTAACCTGTATGTTTATTAATGAAACTAAAAGCGTTTTCAGCTCACAGTCAAAGTAGGAGACATCCAAACAAAAACCAAATATGAATAAATTTCAAATTGAAAATTTGTAGTATTGAAACAAATAAAGAGCGACGTCCGTCACTAAAATCTCCTACTTCTACAGATGCAAATGATGAAGAAATGAGAAATACCAGTGCACATAACGCTTGAATTCGATGGTTTTGACTTTGCTATACATAAAGTAACACTTTTCCATTTAATATAATTAATTTATTCAACATACGCCGACGCTAATCATGCAGCGCTCAAAGCTCTTCTTCTTTCAAATTCATTACTTTTGCTGTTTACTTGAAGAAATTTGCTGCCGAAGCCCACCAAAAACGTTGAGTCTTATGGTTATGCTGCTCCATCATATTTCAATTGTCGGTTTTGGTTTAAACGGTTTAAAAGTGGCCACCCGAATTGACTGAAATAACACCTTCTGATTACCACTTGTTCAAATCTGTGCAGCATGGCTTGGATGGTAAGCGGTTTCGCAAAATGAGAGGGAAAATGGGTCGGTCGGTGGATCGTTGCCGAACCAATATAAGTCCTTTCGACATGATATCGCCATATTGTAAAATGTTGTAGAAAGTTATGGAAATGCCATTTTCAAGTGAAAAAGTGATCAAAATTTTTGCAAATATTTAATAATATCTGTTCTAAGTTGGTTATTGGTGAAAATATGTATTAATTGGAGATTTTCCGAGCCTGTTTTGGGACATTTTAATATTTATGATTAATTTTAGCTTGAGGCGCTAACTTCAAAGAAAAATAAAGGCGCTACTAATGTTTTACAATTTCAATTTTTGACTTGCTATTTTGAAAATGGTAATTTCAGATATTTTTTTTTTTTGATTTTTCGATTTATTTTATTTCAATTTTTCAGCTTTGCTATCTGCGAAATGTAATTAGAAAATTTCTATATTGTGAAAAAATTTTCGCGGTGAGTAAACATTTATTGGTCAATGAAGATATACGAAGAATGTTACGCGACGTACGTAACTTGATTTTTGCTTCTTTGTCCTCAGCGTACATTAGCAGGTCGCTTACTTGATCTACGTAAGCAGTTATGAAAGCACCTTCACTAGTTCTGACGGATTTCAAAAGTTGATTACGTTGCAATAGCTTTGGAGTTTCATATATAATTAGCAAAGAAGCCCCAGCGTTTCTGTTGTATCGAATTCTCGAATAAAAACGTCGGATAAAATGGGTAACTTTCGTTATGCTCGATACTCTGCTTTTAGTTTCTTGCTTTACAACACTGCAAATAATATCATAGACCTCACTGAAACTCCATAGTTGCGAAAATCTTGCACACCGAAGAGGAAGCAAAAAATTCGATGCAATTGCAGAGTGCAAAATAATTTATTTGATTTTCATAAGATAGCAGAAACACGCAACGCTGAATCGTTTGTTTTGTAGACTAAACTTTTTTTTTTATACATATTATAGCTGGCCTAAGTTTACAAAGTTTCTGTCCCATCGCCCCAAGAAATTGATTCAAAATACTCGTTATTTGGTCGAATATCAGTAACCGCTAAGTGAATCGGGACCACGTCATAATAGTTTAGCAGAAAAAAGGAGATAACTTTAAAGGGAAGAAAGAGTGAACATGTTTTCGTTGATCCAATCAATAAAATCTGTTATAACTAAAACAATCCACTAATAACTTAGTCGAGCAAAATTAAAATTTCACAATATTCCATACTTTATGGACTTTTCAATAATGAAGAATATGCCCAAAGAGCCATTGGGGAAATTAATCTTAATAATCTTTTCAAGAAATATATTTTAATTTTATAAAATTTGGACTAACCTTTTAATCTCTTCGCATTCCTTCTCCATTTTCAGCAATATTCCACGTTGTTTTTTCTTGATGGCAGCTATATGATTGACCAAACCCTTAGCTTTGTAACGGGCTTTCTGAACCTCCAACCAAGCAATTTGGCTCTTTGTGCGGTCCAATAAAGCTCTTTCACGCATTTTCAAAAGAGCTGTTAAATGTTCGGTTTTGGTGGTTTCGCTTTGTATTAATTTATCATACTGTAGAAAACAAAACGTAATAAAGATTGAAAAAAGCTTAACAAGAATAATAAAATAAATACAATTTACCAAGCCCACATTAGAGTAGTTAAGAGAAGATTCCGACATAGTGTCTTGTGAAACAGCAATTTTGTCATACTTTCCTTGACCGGAAAGATAAAAAAGTTTCACAATTTCAGCGCCGGTGGCAAGGCGACGATAGACTTTGTTTTTTAACGTTGAAGAAACCGCAAAATTGGTAAGATTACGACTTGATGACATGGCACTGCTGGTAATTTCATCATCTGCGCTTTGGTCGAATTCCGTGGAGGTCCGATGGGAGGCGACCAAAGTAGGTGGATGAAATTGATGATCGCTATAAGAGCGTTGGGAAGCATTGCTATTCATAAAATCCCCGCGAGAACAGTTGACGTGACTGATGAACGTTTTAGGCTTTGAATTTTCACCTTTATGCCAGGATTCCTTTGGCAATTCCTCTGGAACTCTTGGATTTTTCGAAGTAACGTGTCGAGATGGTTTAAGCTCTATGGAATCTAACATTTCCGATTGTAGACAATGCTGGGTTTTATTTTCTTTATTAGAGCCGGAATCACAGAAAATTTCACCAATGTCATTTTCTACATTGTCATTATTGGCTGCTAATTGTAAGTAATTTGAGTTTTCATTTGGACTCGTTTTCGAGATTTCATTAGCCGCATCGATTGACTGGCTTTTACAAGAAGGCTCTGTTCTTCCATTGTTTTCTCCATCTGTACTTGAGTCTGACAGTTTTGTAAGCCTTCTTTTCTTAAAGATTTCTATTAATTGCTCACTGTTATCCCCATTAGTTGTTCTTGTCATCGTTGTCATTGTTTCTGCACTGGATTCTGGCGATTTTTTTCTTTCTGAATTCAGATTACCGCTAAACTGCGTATTGTTATCACTACTAATATGTAAATCCTTTGGTTCCTTGGCAAAGAAAAACTCGCCGTCAGCATCAAAATTTTCTGGAGAATTTTTTGGAGTTTTCAATATAGAGTCGTTTCCTGAGTCTTGTGACAATCTTTTGGATTTGTTGGAGTAAGAATTATTGGACTTTGGAACGCATTCTAAGCCATCCGTTACTCGTCTTCTTTGCTCTTGTGATTCTTTAATGGCTAATGTTAAATCTCTCTTCATTTTTTCCATGAATTCCAAGCGTTTCCCAAATTCCATACTATTATTATTTTCTAATACATCTTCAGCATCTGTTAGAGTCAAAAGACAGTTGGAATTGCTGAGATTGCTTAAAGCTACGCCCACATCGATTGGTGGCACAAATTTTTGTTCTTCTTCCTTTAACAGCTTATTGGCATTAACCGTACTTGTGAAACAATTTTGAGACTTATCCGAGAACGACATTAGAGGCATCTTTTTGGGAGAAGTAACAAATAGGCAACCTTTGTGATATTTGAGAGTCTGTTCAAGTTTTTCTATTTGACATTTTTCACTTTTAGCTTTATCTTCGCTAGACTCTTCAGTAACAGGTTCAAAATCTGAAGAATACTCTATTGTATATTGTTTACTGATTCGAGGACTTAACAATTGTTGTGACTTATCTAAAGTGAATTTTAATTGTTCGTTTACTTGTATAACCTGCGTTAGACTCCGGTTAAAGTCTTCTAACAGCTGTGAAAATTCTTTATCCATGTTTTTATTTTCCGTTCTCTGTATTTTTAGAAGCTCTATGCGCTCTACTGATAGAGGACTAACAGATGCTAGTTTGGGTCTATTTTCCTTTGTATCCCCTTGTTTTTTATTGAAAGTGGTTTTCGATTCAGTTTCCAAAGAAGAAACTTCCGACACGGTGTTTGTCAAAGGCAATTGCATGGAAATTGAACTTAAATTCGTAATAGTTTCCGAACTTTTTGAATTAAGGTTTTCAGTATAAAGAGCTTCAAAAGAATTTTTCAAACGGACATCGAATTCGTGAGTTCCAACTTCCACTTCCTTTGGAAACGTTAATTTCGTAATTTCAGGACTTAAATCTAACGTGAACTTTATAGGCTTTGTTAAGGATTCTTGAAATTTATTGGAAATTTTAAAAACTTCAGATTTTTGATGTTTTAATTTTTCTGCTGAAGTTAACTTTACTATTTCAGGACTAGAATCGTAGGTGGACTTTAACGGCTTTTCCAGGTTTACAAGAAACTCTTCAACTCTTTCGGAAATTTCTGCGTTGTCGGCATTATGGTTCTTTTGCTCTCCAGAAAAATTGAATTCAAAGTTTTCAGTATTTGATCTTGATTTACTTTTAACTGTTTCCTTCAACACTTGTGGTTTCGTTAAAGAGGACCTTGTTACTGCTGCATCACACTCAAAATCTTCCTCCGGTGAAATATATTTATTTTCTGGTATTCTAAATTCATTGCTCTTCTGCTCTTTATGATTATTGGGTGTTTGAGTAATGGCCTCAAGTTTGCGTCTAACCGCCAATATAAAATTATAAGGATATACTTGAGCACTACTAGGTCTTAACCAATAAGGTAAATTGTGAGGTTTTGTTTGTTTTTTAGATTCTTTAATAAATCCAATGTTTTCTTCGATTTTTGCTTTGCTAACCTGACGAACTTCTCTTTCGTTTTGTTCATTATTCTTCCCCAGTCCTAATAGGCCATCCAAAGGCTTTAGAAGCTTTTCTTCAATTGCTTTTCTAAGGCGAGGTTCTTTTGATTCTTCCTCGCTCAAAGTTTCAATTGCTTTTTTCTTTTTTTCGCTGTCACATTTTTTTCCAGTTTTTTCCGTAAGTGTACTTAAATTGGGTGTTATTGTTTCCAAGGCCTTATTTTCGTTTTCAAAATCTAAGCCACGCAATCCACTAGGAAAATTCTCCCCACTGTTGTCTTGTTTACGCAACAATCCAACTCGTTTACCTTCTTCTTTCAAAGGATTTGATTTTACTTTTGGAGAAGCCCAAATAATGTTAGTATGTAAACTTAAAGCAGATCTCGAAATCACTTGAGCTCTATTTAAAGGCCTTGGGCGATCTGTGATATGACCTTTTGCTATTTTGTTTTGTTGTTTTGTATTCCAATCCAAAGATTCTGAAGTTTCATTAGAATACAAAAACGCTTTCTCCGATTCTGTATTTTGTTCCGCTCGTGTTTCATCACTATGCTTTTCTTTTTTTTCTACTGATTCATTAGTTTGTTCGGCCTTCAATTTTTTTTTCTCAAGGTTTTTGTTAACTAACTTTTTTGTATTTTTTTGTAACTCTTCTAAACGTTTTTTAATTTCTTCTTTAGCCGATTTATCTTTATCTGCCTTTTCTTGTCTCAGTTGTGAATGTAATTTATATTTTCGCTTTTGCCCTGCCGCCAATCGATGTGTTCCCTCTGGTTTTCTAGGAGTTTTCTTGCTTCTTTCCCTAGTAATAGATAGTTGAGATAATTTAGATCTGATTTTGTCTGTTTGCTCATGTGATATATCTTTTCTAGATTCCTCCAAATCAGTTTGGCTTCGACGATAAGTAACAGTCTTCGTTTCATTCATATTATTTCCCTCTTTCGCCTCTATTTCGGCGTTTGTTGTTTCGACAGACTTTATGTTTTTGTCATTAACATCATTCAAATTTTTCTGTATTTCCTTTAATTCACGATCACGTTTCTCTTTCTTGTCCATAAATTTCTCTTGAAGCTTAGACATTCTTTTCGATTGTTGACAAGAATAAACTAGAGCTGAAACCGGCTCTTTTGGAGGCGGTATATCTTTAGCCGATTTGTCAGTTTTAGTCCACTGCGTACTAGATCCGCATTCATAAGATATCCTTGCAATGTGTGTTGTAATTCCTGTAGGTCTGCACATCAAATGGGAAGCTTTGTGAAAGAAAAAATTTATCGTAAAAAACATGATATGTTATAATTTTCAATTATACCATGCGTCTAAGATGGTGGAATAGTAAAATTTTAAAACAACTTTCTACGATTCCTTAGCTAACTCACCCGGCGTTCCTGAAAGTTTTTTTATATTTGTTTGAAACTGGCTTGTAGATCGTTCATATGTACCATTATTCGTAGATGTTGTTGCTGTTTGCATTGTTGTTAAAGTTCTTCGTGTTAAAGTCCTAAGCTCTTCTTGCTTTGCAGCTTGCGCGTCCTGTCCGCCTGTTGTTGTTGTCGCTTGAAAGCAATGCCTAAATTGTTTTTGCCACCGATTTGGTTGTCTTTGTCTCGTTTCGCGTTTTTTTTAAGTATTTTTGTGGCTACACTTTCACATGATTTCTATAATTCATTGTCCAAAAATTTTCTAATAAAGCTATATAGAAAAATTTTTAATAAAAAATATTGATAAGAAGCACATCACAATTAATTTAAAAGGAGAGATAATTGTTTACAAGAGATCATAAGAGAACAAAACAACCTTGCGCACATGGCTGCAAGTTTACGTATCGAATAAACAAAAAAAAATATTAACTAGAATTATTTCGCACCAAAACGTGATTAACAGAAATTAGCTAAAATTATTTGGCACCAAAAAGTGGTTAGAAAAATAAGCAACGATTTCAAAAACAAATGAAATATACTAGTGTTATGGCTATATATATACATATATACATAACGACATTTAATATAAATTAAGATTATTTACATAATAATAAATTTAAAATTTGATAAACAGTCTTCAGCCAAAAAAAAATGAACTAGAATTATTTGCCACCAATAAGTGGTCAACAGAATAGATCCATGAAAAATGATTTCGGAACGTATGAAGTATACTAATATTGGTATATTTAATATTGGTATGTATAAATTTATATACACAACGACATTTAATATAACAACAAATTAGGATTAATAACATAATAAGAAATTTAGAATTTGATATAAGCCGATAGCCTTAGATGCTAGTGCTTTTAAGAGTTTAGTCTTAGAATTTATTTCTCTGGCGAAATTAATAATAATAATAATAATAGAATTTGATAACCAAAATCTTAAGTCGAAAACACATACCAATTGCGCATATCAAGCATATAAATTTATGTTAAACATATTGACAGCAACAACTATACATGCATAAAAATTTTTAGATATTTTAGACGTAAAAATATGTCTAACTAATTACTAAGCATTACCAGTATTATCAAATCAATTGACATTTTTGTTATTACTCTAATATACTGGTCGTTTACGTTTATTCTAATTAGCTGACATGTAATTTGTTGTTTATACTTATGTCAATTTTCTTATTTTTATTCCTCAAATGATATGGTAAGGTAGATGAAAGAGCGCTTTCTGTATATGTTATCTATTCAACTTTAATACGCGCAGAAAAAACGCAAAAATATTGCGCGATTGTTGAGATACAAGAACGTTGCTATATATTTTCGGCCTGAAGCAATGATGTGTATAAGTGGTAAACACAATGGTAAGCGGCGATGGGGCAATACTATGTATGAGGAATAACACAAAATGTTATCGTACAAACAACTTAAATTTCTAATTGATTACTGAAAAATAAAGAAGATGGCTTTAAAAAAATGAATGTAGGGCGCAGTTAAATAAAATAAATGATAAAAAAGGTTTAATATGAAATTCACATTTTAAATTGAAAGTAAATTGTATTTAATGCTTGTTTTTTATTTTCTAGAAAATAATATCGTGTGTAAACCAAAATTTTGAATCATATATCATATAAAAAGCATTTAAATTAGTGATAAAAATATTTTAAGTTTAAAATAAATTGTGTTTGCAATTTCTACGTTTTATTGCTGTTGTTTTATTATTTGCATACACGCAGAGTCACATGATTTGTTAATTCCCACAAAGACTCACAAAATGGTGGCAAAATTGAAGTCTCATCCCGAAAATATGAATAAAGCATTATTGTGTTGTCCCCATTACTCATTCAGGCCTACGATGTACATTTAAAGAAACAAAAATAATTAAAGCGGTCAATTCTGTTTCTCTAAAAAGAAAGAACTTAAAACGGAACATTGATCTTTTATATATTAATGGCACAACAAGGGTAAATTTGCCCTTCATTTGATTAAAATGATACAATCAGTGATTCCCAAATTGCGTAGGTGGCGCTATAGTTTCGTTTGAATGTCTTGCGAGTCTAGAAGGCATCCGCTTAGCTTGGTATTTAACCTCAAAACAAATCCCTTTATTTCCACAAATTATTAAAGCTACTTGGTTTATCAACTGCGCTCTCAGGTATAACATCGTTTGTCTTATTAACGGATTGATTTAATGATCATCTATTCCGATTTAACATAGTAAACAATCCTTTATGCACAAGGGGCGTCTTACAATCTCCTGATCATATTCTATCTGTCCGGATGTTCACTTCTCGCCATCCCATACTGCGCAAATTGAGTATATGTGGTTTTCGTGACATTCGTTCTTGACATTTTGCGTTCTCGAAATTTAGAAGCTTACGTCGCAATTTTTTCTTCATGCCATCAAAACATATAAGCGTTTACAGTCAATTTATGAACCTACTCTCTTTTACATTTTTTTGCTATCACACTCATTAATTCCTTAACATTCCTTTATACTCATATACCACATTACATCTTACAGGTTACTCCTCGCTCTTTTGTTCCATCGACGCGCGATCATCATTACATAATAGAAATACTTTATTTGCGTACAAGAATAATTGACATGCCTCAGAATTTGCCCAGCATGCAGAAGCAGTTCATTAGATTTAGCTTCCGTAAAGTTCATAAGTTACACTCTGCCGTGATGATACGAAGAAATAAGTTTACAGGGCGCGTTTAAAAATTAAATTTATATTTAGGCTTCCTATTCAAAGTCGAATGGTGTATAGAGCTAAACGCCTTGGAAAGATCAAGAGACATTGGAGCATTAGGTCTACCAACCTCATTGTTCACCCTAGTGGAATCAGTAAGTAAGCGGCAACGACGAAACACTACAGCCTTGACGAAAGACATGTTGGGATTCATAGGTATTCGCCCTTGTAATCTGAAAGATTTGATCCTTCCTAAGACGTTCTACGTTCTTCGATATGTTGGGAAGAAAGACCTTAGATTTCGGTGCAGGAACGGGCAGTTTTGAAAAAAATTGGAAATTTAGATAATTTAAAAATAAAGTAAGAAAAAAAACATGATTGCCTAGCAAAAAGACAGAAATCGGTGGAAAAACAACTTTAATACACTTAATCAGATTACTGTCAATGCCAAACGACACAGAGTTCACTTTATTTAATGCTCAATTTATGCCCATTAATTTCCAACTTATCGACATAGCAAAAGTAGAACTAGGCAGACGCCTTCGCCACAACCACAGATTCAAGCTCTGCATCACTACTAAGCTTTCAGAAAAGAAGCTATTTAGAAGATCAACATCACCATCCCAGTTCACGTCACAGCTGCTCCGCACAAATCAACAATTACGTAAATCTCTGTAAAGATCCGTCGCATCTGGACTTTCAAAGATAAGCGAAAAGAACTTTCTCTTCTCAATCTTTATCACATTCTTTGGTTTGTTGCGCAGCTTACAATAAATTTTCCAGTTCTCTGAAGTGAGATCAGATCTAAAAATCGAAAACATAATGTTCCAAAGGAGATGTACCTAGAATTCATCCACGTAGCATTACTCCCCCGCATCTCTTTCTTAACAACTGAAAAAAAGTATTATTATTATTATTTTAATTTTAGACTAATGAATTGAATTCTTAGACTAAAAAAAAGACATTTAGCACTAGCAACACAGGCTATCGGCTCTAATTTAAATAAATGGATATTAGATAATAAGCTTAGTAGTATAAATAAAGTAAAATATTGAATTGATATTTTGTTCTGAAGCTGATTGTAGAATGTCCAAAGGGTTAATCGTTCCAAATGCAATACTTCTAGCCAAGGAAAAGTTGAGGCAGTCGCAGAGAATGTGCTTTATAGCAAGAGTTTGTCCACAACAGCAGATTGGGGGAGAAGACTTCTTCAGGATCCATTGGTGAGTTGCAACTGTATGACCAAGGCGAATTCTCGAAAATGTTTGGATCTTGGTTTTCTCAACATTTGTTGGATATAGAGGTGGAGTTAATTGAGGGTTAATGCAAGAGTAGTGTTGATGATGGTATTGTAAATTTCCCTCTGCAATTTTCTCTTTAACTTTTCTTCCAATGTATCTTTGAAGATCCAACTTTTCCATGACATCATCCATAATTAGAAGAGCAGAAGCAGCATACTTTGCCGCTCGATCAGCCTGCTCATTTCCCAGTAAACCGATGTGACTTGGTACCCATAACATTTTAATTTTTCCGTCGGGTGTAGTAATTATATTCCTTAATTTGTTGATGGTGCTCCATCTCGAAGTCGAAGGGTTACGGGTAGCTTGTAATACAGACAAACTGTCAGTAACAATGACGGTTTTGAGTTTGTTTTTATGGGCAAGCGTGAAGGATAGCTCTGGCTTCGGTTATGAAAGTTGAAGTGCTTTCGTGAAATATGTGGTTGAGAAGAACCCGTCCTGTAGCATCTACCACCGCACAAGCAGGAGGCAGACCAGGAGATTTTGAGCCGTCTGTGTACAAAAGATTCGCACCAGTATTGTCCAATACTTGGGTTTTCTCAGCTATTAGATTCCTGAAGACGTAATTTGGAGTATCTTCTTTCTTGTGCATAGACAGTGAGATGTCAAAAGAGCAGTCTTTCAAAATCCAGGGAGGTTTAACACCAAAAGAGCGGGAAATTTTTAAGGGAATGTTCAATTCCTTTGCGATGCACAAACAATGGCCAATTGCAGATGGTGACTTTGGAATTTTCTTCGCAATAATAATCTTTCTTACGTCATCACCGAGAATGGATTTGTTTGAATTAAGAAGCTTGGGGAGTATTTTAGCTTTTAACTCATACAATCTATTTTCTAAAGTTGGGAGACCAGTTTCAATTATAATAATATTTATGGGCGTCGTCCGAAAAGCATAACAACTTGCTCTAACGGCTTGGTGATAGAGCGGTTTAAGGATGTTGATATTAGATTTGCAGCTATTGCCATAAATTATCAAAGCATAGTCAATCTTGCTTAACACAAGCATTTTGGTACGATAAGCGATAGTGTTAATATGCGCATGGCTTCTCC